AGAGAGACCACATCAATGCATTCATGCGCATGATAAGCAGCACCTTTCCGTAGTGCCATCATCCTTACGTGGCGGCACAAGCAAAGACATTTTCAAGCAATATTAGATCCATTTTTACCTATCCATTACATAATGCCATCACCTTATCTCTTTGTTATGGGTACACAAGGATTTTGAGAAAAGCACAATGCCCCATAGCATCTCTAAACTCATCTCCAAATGAACTGCAACTGCAGCCTGCCCCTTATTTTCTCTTTTGGAATGGGGTTGCACCAAAAAAATATCAATACCAAAAAGAAGAAAACCCATATTAATGTGCAACGACATGAGGGTGTATAAAATTGCCCAGTGGGGGATCAATAATTAACAGATGGACACAAACATTCTCAACCAGGAAAAGGAGCATTAAATCACACTGCATTAAAATAATAACTCAGGCAACTAAACACTAAGAAGTAAAACCTTGCTTTCATTTTGATCTTTGTCTTGATTCACAATAGGCATGAAATGCTTATTCCCCGTGTCTTCCTCGCAATTTTTCATCTGTGGGCACATTGAGTGAAATCTTAAGTAGCTTCCATTACCTAAAATAAAACAAACAAATGAATAGACTTTTTCTTATGTGAAGGATAAATAATCAGCAAAATGAGGAAACTGGGAAAGCAATAAACAGACACTAAAACTTTCAACCATTAAGGTAACGCATACAACCTGAGTATGATACATCTGCATCATATTGGGTGAACAAGTCAATTGATTGCTTTTCCGAAGTGCATGTTTTAACTTGGTTATCGAAATACTTGCTGATTGAACGTGTTCCCTGCCCAATAGCATTACCAAAGCAAACAGATATGCAATGGAGTATAAATGTAACCTAAACCATTGTTAGAATAAAGATCTAACTGGTATCCAACTGTGAAAGTATTGAAGCTAGTCAAATAAAATAGAAAAACTACAATTTCCCACCAAATCTGGTATAGTAGTTAAAATCATTATTAAGATCATGTTCTATAAAAAATACCAACCAACAATACAAATAAGCCAATTGTCCACCAAGAACAAGAAGTGGACAAAATAAGTATAATATCCACAAACAGATTTTTCTCATACTCTTGGCATAGGTTTCTTTATTTTAGTTTATTGTCCAAATTGCAACTTAAACTTTTCCAAATTATAACCCGTAAAGCTCTGCTGAAGCACTATAGACTATAAAGGTAATATCACTGCCGATCTTATTCCTTGCAAATTTGAGTGGTCAATTCAGCAGGTTTTAACCTTGAATATGATGCTAAAAGCGTTGACTTACTGATGGTATTTCAACTATTTTACTGGCTGAAATGGAAAGACCAGTTATTGCCCATCCATGATGTAGGTTTCCCTTTGTCTTGATAGTGCGTGAACCAACATATTCACGTAGTCCGGCATGAAATAGATTGAAAGCATCTTCTTGAATCTTGGCAGTCCCATACCTTATTGGACATGACTTCGAAGGAAATTTTTTAACTGATTCCGAGTCATTCAACTGACAATTAACATATGAAAGAAACATGAAAAAGGAAAACGGAGAAATTAGAAGTTGCAAATATGGATATTATCAAAGGTAAAGACAGAATGAGTTCAGGAGGGAATATTAGAACAAGAATTTTTAGGAAGACAAAAGACCTTGTAGGCATTTACATGTAGGGAGAGTGTATGAGCAATGCGTTTATTCTGCTCCAAATCAGAAAGAAGACGTTCACTCAGTTCTTCACAAAGCTCATTAAGCCACTTTTGAACCTGTAATGATAAACACAATAAAAGATGGAAAAAGTGAAATGTGTGGGTATTCATATACCATTCAGCAAATTGAAAATGTAGACTAACAAAATTGAGGACCATAGTTTTGATAGAAATACTTACAGAAGCACTGGTTTTAAGAGCCCTAGGTCCAGGAAATGTTTTTCCGGAGCCATGGCTCTTAGGAAGTAGGCGGCTCTCAACCTCATCCCCACTGATCCCCCTTGCAGCATTCCATAACCAAGTGCTGCACAGATAAAAGAATCAGTCCAGAGTTACAGCAGGATGAAATAAAAACGTAGAATTGGCTGAAGCATTCTTGCATGAAAAGAAGAAAAAGCTCGAACTTTTCCCCTTTCATTTTCATACAAACCTAAACCAGAGACACAATTTCATTAAAGCACTTCATTAATGGTCTAGACAAAGATCTTGTCCTATAGGAAAGTTACTAATACTACCAATCACACACTTTGGCTAAAATTAAGAAAGTTTAAAGCAGAAGACGGGAAATTTTTACTGTATTCTCCTTTTTCTTGAGGCAAAGCTATAACCACCAGGTAATGAAGTGCAGAAAATAATTATTTAAGAAAAAAAATCTAAATCTTAAAAGCAGCATGATGCCATCTAATTCATTTGAAACAGTAAATTGCAGTTATTTTTGCAGTTGTTTCATGTAATATCAGCAGTAATTAATATGATTACTCAGATCAGAAAACTTCCAAGCTTTCACCAAACATTGTCATAAGAATAAGAAAAAATCTAAGAATCGCTAAAATCATCAGAATACTAGTGGACAACAACCCAGTATTTATGCCATAATGTTCTTGCAGCTTCTGCTCTGAAAAATGCAATAGATCACCAACAGTATTCACACCAAGGTCCACTTGCAGGGAAGTTCCCAGCTTTCCCCCAAGTTGTTTCCTGCAATAAATATTGCCTCAAAACAAACAAAGAAAGTACATGAGAAGTTTGTACTAGTAGATAATGTCTTTCAAAACAAACAGTACAGTAATGGGCAATATTAGAGTAAGAAGATTCCCTTTCAGTGTAAACTTACATTTTCTTTATAGGTAAAGGTTCAAGTAATTTATTCACGGACAAGAATGGCACAACAGTTTGTTGAGCAGGTTTATTCATGCCACTGGCTAATTTGGCCAGCATCTGCCATAACATCATATTCATAAAAAATCATTCAAAGATAAGAGAAAACTTTCTTTTGTGAAGCAATGGATCAAAAACAACCACAAATAGAGAGTTTTCTCTCTAATTGATCTCAATTATGTTCATTGGAATCCTAATTGGACTTAGTTAGGAATGATTTGTATTTGTTTTTCATTTTGAAAGGTCTTGGCTTCGCCCCC